GATTCTGCCCCTCTACTCTGCTCTGGTGAGACCTCACCTAGAGTACTGCGTCCAGCTCAGGAGCCCTCAGCACAAGAAGGACATGGAACAGTTGGAGTGGGTCCAGAGGAGGGCCACAAAAATGATCCGAGGGCTGGAGCACCTCTCCTATTAAGACAGGCTGAGGGAGTTGGGGTTGTTCAGCCTGGAGAAGAGAAGGCTGCGGGGAGACCTGATTGCGGCCTTTCAGTACCTAAAGGGGGCCTATAGGAAAGATGGGGACAATCTTTTTAGTAGGGCCAGCTGTGACAGGACAAGGGGTAATGGTTTTAAACTAAACCAGGGTAGGTTTAGACTAGATATAAGGAAGAAATTCTTTACAATGAGGGCGGTGAAACACTGGAACAGGTTGCCCAGAGAGGTAGTGGAGGCCCCATCCCTGGAAGCATTCATGACAAGGTTGGACAGGACTCTGAGCAACCTGAGCTAGTTGAAGATGTCCCTGCTCACTGCAAGGGGGTTGGACTAGACGACCTCTAGGGGTCCCTTCCAACCCAAAATATTCTATGATTCTATGAAAAGTATGGGGATCGGACTAATCTTGAGTAGTATTTGCAGACTAGGCGTGTTGCAAAGTCAAGTTTTCATTAATATGTTTTTCTGTTTTAAATTTCAAGATAAGATTTAACAAAGTATTTTCAAATCCACGAGAAAGTGGGGTTTTGTAGATGTGTAATGTATTAATTAGGGAAACTGATGTACTTGGGGAATAAAAAGGACAAGGTTTAGACAAATAACCTTTCTATTTTCTTGGAGTCAAAATACCTCCCCTGAAAGAGGACTGCAGAATCAGGTACTGGATGGCATGTTATCTTGGTCAGGTTACATATCCTCACACAGATGTACTCAGAAGTAAGCTTGGTGAAATAGCTTATCTAAACAAAAAGGAGGTTTTAATTAGATGTCATGACTTTTGCTAGTTCTCTGTATTATTTTCTTGCAGGATGTTCGCAAGCCCTAGAACGGAGAATCACTTTCCACCATTAGGAGTGGCTCAGTTTTGGTGTAAGTTCCAAGGAATTGCTTTGATTTTAGTATATTACTTCATATTTACACTATGATAAAGGTAGTTCAGTGAAGACATCAGTAATGTCTCTCTGTGTCTCATCAGTTCAGCTCAGTGAAACATCGCTGACACGACAAACTGCACCAATGATGTTCATGTATAAGAAAAAGACAGCTCCCAAAGTGTCTGTTGTCGCTTGGTTGGACCATGTACCTATGTCTGCCAGTGTTATCTAAAGCAGAGTTTGATTTGCTGAGGCAGGGGACCATAGCTCTGTGTGAAAATGTGCAAAGAAAATACATACATTGACCAGGAGAATACATTAACAAAGATGTGGTCTGCTCAGTCCTGCAGCCACTTTACAAAAAAGAAATTTGGGGGAGGCTGATCTTGAAATAATTTTGTGTTTTCTGAAATCCTTCTGGTTTCATTCTGTCTTGACGCCAGAGGGACTGCTCTCGTGAGCTAAGGCTGGCTTCTTGGCAGCTGAGAAAACAGGGACAAGGCAACAGTAAAATGGCAGTGTTAATTTAACTCTCCATGTTCTTTGAATGTCCAGCTGGGATGAAGGTTCAGCATCACTGTGTGGCCAATCAGTGTCTTAAGATTTCTGGTAAGGAATGGGATTTTGATCACAGAATTCCTGTTTGCAACAGCAGAATATATATGTGATAATGAGTGTATTTTTTAGTTCCTTCCCTGTTCTTCCTCACTGATCAAATCCCTGATGGGGCTGGATGAGTGACTGCAGGCAGATAGGGCTTTCTCATATTGCTGTCATTGCCTTAAACAGACGTTTTGTTGCAGAGGGTCTTCTGTTGGGATCTGTGCTGAGATAAATTGACAGGGATCCAGAGTGAGTCTAGTGAATATAATTTAGTTATTGAGAAGAATGGCAGCTGTGTGTGATGCATACAAAACTCTAATGTGTGCCAGCCTACATTTTGTTCAAATATGCTGGGGACTAATGGAAGAGGAAGTTTATTTCTTTTCTCTTTAAGATACAGTGCAGACTTGCTTTAGCTGGCTGATTGTTAAATTACCTGTGGGAAAAAAAAATCTGAATTTAAATTACATGGAAAAGAATTTTGAGTGAGGAAATTAGCATTTTCTTCTAGCAAGTAACTTGAGAAGTTGAAGAAGCTTTAGTTTACTGAAGTTAAATAATTCCTGGCTGATCTGGACTAAATGGAAGACTTTTGTTTACTGTGAGTGATGCTTGCATACAGTGGTATTAATATCACTTTCTACTTTTATAGAATCACCCTTTGAAACTGTTGTTAAATTATCAGCTCAAGAGCTGAATAGGTTGCAGCAAAATTGATGCAAATTTCTAAAGTAGTTTCTGAGGGCTGCTGGTTTCTGGGTGCTGCTGGCTCCATATAATTATTAGCTGACTGAGTAACGTGATTGAGTATGTACTTTGCGCAGTGGGTGCACGTGTGACTCCCACAACTTAGATAATGGGATTAGTTTACAGAGAGGGTGCAAGTTAAGCAAGAAATATTTTTTAATTAACTTTAAGGTTGCAGAGTCTGGACCTGAACCTCTGTTGTCCCATGTAGTAGCTTACATGCATTACCAGTTCATATATACAGTGACCAACAAAGTTTATATTCACTTTGTACAGAAGTAAATGCTTTCACAAGGCAGGAGACTGGCTCTTGTGCCTCGGAGTGAGGTAAATGTAACTCAGCTGTTCCTCGTGTTAGGCAAATTTAGCTTTTGTTTAAGCTTTGGCACAGGAATGTCACAGAATACAATTTTTGTTTAGATTTTAAATCACCTGTGTGTGAGTAATGAAGTATGTGTCACAACCAAAATGGACTTTATCTGACAACAAAACATACCTTTCAACTGAGCACACACCGTTCAAGTGGGGGCCTGGTGATGGTGTTCATTAAGCACGCACTGATGTGATAAACTCCCTGAAGGAGATTACAGCTGAAGAGAGTAATTTCAGTTGCCAGACTCAGATGTTTTAGAAAGAAGTAGCTTATCACCAGGAGGAAGGTACGGCTGTTATAGCACTCCTCAATGCCCAAGAAAACCTTTGTGCTTAAAGAACCGGACTTGGCAGAAGTTGTGGCAAGCCATTGTGTCTTAATTTAAAATTGACATCTGCTAAATGCTTGTTGACGTAGTCTTTTGAACGTGGCATGGAGCAAAGGCTTCTGCTTCAGAAGCAGCCACTGGGTTAATATGGGATGTCCTAGCTGGTGTGGTTAGCAGATTCTCTTAATGATTTCATGACTCTCAGCTGCAGACTTTGGAACTAGTGAAATTCTTTTTCCATCCGGGAGGTAGACTCAGTCGTTGCTGCATGTTTTCCCCAAGATTGTTTTCACTGCAAGGTCTGTGCTCTGACATTTTAAAACAAATTAAGTATTAAAAATGCAACATTAAATAGTGACAATTAATTTAACAACCACTGGAGGACAGCTGGTGCATTAACAGAGCTGCATGAAGGTGCTGAAGGTATAAACCCATCAGTTTTCTTTCCCGTGCTGCTTTTTTTCTTTGTGAGGAAATTTGACAATGCTGACTAGTTGAGAGGCCTTTGCTCTGAATCACTGTCTGGAAAAGCCTTATCTTGAGTTGGAGACTAGCTGTGCAAATTCAGTGCCAGACACTCAACATTGCTGGAAAGAATCCAAACTTGTGAAGCTGCAGTGCTGTGCCCCAGCGTGAACAATTCTCTTGATGTGTTCCCTTCTTCCCCCCCCCAGCACTCTCAATTCCAAAGCTTTCCCATCTTTCTGCACTCTTAAGCTGTATCCCTGAGAAACTAGAGCTCAGCAGTTCGACTCGGTGGAGTTTTAACAGTAGGTGGCAGCGGACAGCAAATCTAAACCAGCTGGCCTCCTGCTCTGACATTGGTGCCGTTGTGTTGATTTCTCACAAACTCTTTCCAAAATTACTGTCTTAGAAGCAGTCTAAGAATCACATTTGCCATCTTTTTGCTGAAGAATTAAATGGGTTATTAAAATATAAACGACTGGCAGGTACAGCTTTTTTTTTAATTATTGTAAAGTATTGCAAAAGAGTTGTTGCCTGATAATCCTCTTAATTGTGCCAGGACTGTAAAAGAAGACTTGGCGGGTTTGGAAGCAGTTTTAGGCCAGCTAACAGAGAATAGGAGGAGCAGTTCCTGTTTAAATTACTTAGATATGGCACTGAAGGAATTAACTGACGTTTTTGAGCTTTAAGTAGTGTACTGAAGGCATGAAATACAGCAGCGTCTTCCCAGCCCCTCTCCTCCTGATCCCGTTGGATCAGGACCAATGGCAAGAAAAGGTGATGCTCTTGCTTTCTACTGACTGTCATTACCACTCTTGTCTGTAGCATCTTTCTGCTACTGCAAGTTTCTGTGGTTCAGATCAAATAGATTTCTTGTGGAAAGAAGATGAATGATTCTGCTACAGGTTTGTTTGGTGGTTTGGTGGTGGTTTTTTTTCCTTTTCTTGGATGCTTTTCAAGCAATTCCATGAGTATTAACTTCCTCTGGATCCTTACTGCGACTGCTTCTAGGGAACTGCATGTGGTCTTAGTCAACGGCAGCATGCTCCAGACAGGCCGCCAAGAGTAGTGGGAAGCAGGGAAGTCTGTATCGTTGGCTCCAGATCCTTCGGATCTCATCTTCTCTTCCTTTTTGTGACAGCCCTGTATATGCAGGACCAAGAACCACTGCCCCTTGCCAGTTCTCCTGCGTGTGACTTGGTTACCTCCAACTGTTGACACTCTGGAGACAGAACCTGCGGCCAGAAACCCTCACGTGTTTCTTCCTGCTGTGGGGGGGAACCATCTACTCCCTGCTCATAAGACGAAAAATCGTTCCTGTAATTAATAACCCGTTCTGGGAAATTTATGTCATGCTTATCTAGTGAAGTCACATCTGAATTGCTGTAAGAGCAGAAATGTGGGATGCCATAGGGAAAGTAAGAAGTCCATAGGGAAGGTAAGAAAGGCTGCTGAGGTATGTGCAGGTGCACGTGGTTTTGTCCCTGCTTTACCTGCAAACCTGGCAAGCGTTGTCTCCTCTGTTGGAGTGAAGCTGTGATCTAAAATGCGTGGCCAGATGGCACCAAGAGCCTCCACCACCGCGTTATGAGTCACAGAGCCTGGACAAAAACTGGAAAAAAATAGGTGCACCCCTTGAAGCTTCATTTCCTTAGCAGGGATGGGGTTGTAGTTTTGTGTGGAAGATGTAAAAATTAGAAGTTGTGCCAACAGAGACTTCTGTCGATTGACCTGCAAGAGGCATGTGCTAGCAAAATATACCTACCACACACACATCTGACACCTCCTTTCTAGTTGATTGTTTTATCTAAACATTTCCAGGTTTATTTTACAGGCTTAGAAATGGTGATTCTAATTATTATCAGAAATAATTTGCACCTGTATTTGGGGCAGGCATTAAAAAAAGCATACCCCTTATTTTATCCCTTACCAGCTAGATGCACCTAAAAATTCAGCAGAGATTTGCAGAAGAATTTTGGTTCTCCATTGCCACGTGTTTTGGCCTGTAACATTTTTGTCTTGTAAAATAAACTCAAAAAGCTGAGTAAAAAAAAAGAAAAAAAAACAAAAACCCACTGCCAAATGAAAACTGGAATTCTAAGCCCTGGAGGGGGGGTGTGGGGGGGTGCTTGACCAATATGCCCGGGCAGCGGAGAAGCGAGCCGCGCGTGAATGGGGGCCACGAGAAAGAGCTGGGATTTGCAGCGTACATTCTGCAGGTCCTACACGGGCGGCGTTTTGGAGCGCGCCTGCGGGAGCAGCGGTGCTGGCCTGTGCTGGGGGTGGGGGGTGGCTGTTACCGGTCCTGAAGGCAAACAGCCGCGGGAGGCGAA